GAGGCAGCTCCCCTCAGGACTGGCTCAGAACAGAACATGTGCTATACAAGGATTCCTTCCTCCTTTTATTTTTTTAACCAACAAAAGCACACATATTATTTTAAAAGAATTGCCTCTATTTTAGGGAATAAGAAAGAGCATGAGCCCTGCCAGCATGGCTCAGTGGTTGAGCATCAACCTATGAACCAGGAAGTCATGGTTCGATTTCTGGTCAGGGTGCATGCCCAGGTTGTGGGCTTGATCCCCAGTAGGGGGCGTGCAGGAGGCAGCTGATCAATGACTTCCTCTCATCATTGCTGTTTCTATTTCTCTCTCCCTCTCCTTTCCTCTCTGAAATCAATAAAAATATATTTTAAAAAAAGAAAGAGCATGATAAGGGCAGTGACAATATTACAAAACACAAAAGTAAACATGTTTCTAAGGTCTCTGTTTATGTGTGAGTATGTTTTTAATCCTCACCTAAGGAGATTATATATATATTATTTTTCCATTGATTTTTTTTTTTTTAGAGAGAGAGAGAGTGGAAGAGAGATGGGAAGGCAGAGAGAAATATTGATGTGAGAGAACACATCGATTGGTTGCCTCCTGTACTTGCCCTGACCAGGGCCCGGGCTGGGGAGAAGCCTGCAACTGAGGTACATGCCCTTTGGTCTGCAGGCTGATGTTCTATCCACTGAGCCAAACTGACTAGGGCCCTGAGTATATTTATTGAGAGTGGGAGGGAGAAGATGAGGGGAGACAAAGAGAGAGAAACCTCTCAGATTGATTGGTTGCTTCCCACACATGGCTCTGGAGATGAACCTGCAACCCAGGTACCTGCCCTCAACCAGGAATCAAACCAATGATCTTTCCATGTGCAGGCTGATGCTCTAACCATTGAGCCTACCAGCCAGGGCTAAGGTCTCTGCTTCTGTAACAGGCTGGTCCTTAGGAGAGAGCACCTGGTTTCCTCTGAAATAAAACTGGAAACTCCATTACACTTTGGATTCCTGTCACTTCCCACCTTCTTCTTATCTTGAAGGACGTTCCTAAGTCTCTCCTTTTTCTGAATCAACACTTACCTTGTTGGGGACTCAAGGAAAACTCTGGTCCTTCCCTCGCCGCATGGACAGTGGACTTGGTGTGACGCCAAAGCAGAGGCAGTCAGCGCAGCTGACTCCCAGGTGGGCCTGACTGGACAACTTGTCTGAGCCTTTTACCATTTCCTCTTCCCTCCCTTCCAAATTCCTGACCATCAACAAGGTTTCAGACATTGTGAGGAGAGAGGAGTAACACACGGACCATGCACAGTCTCTGCCAGCGAGGAGCTTCATGAATAGTGGAGTCAGGAGAGTAAGGAGCCAATAGGTGCACTGTGCTGAGTCCTCCAAT